GTTTGTAGTGTGCTGGCTTTACTAATACCATTTTGGTGTCCTTTACATTCATTTTATTTGGTTTAGTCCAATCCTTTTGTGGTCCATACATAGCTGTATTTTAATGAGACAGGATCTCTGTCAGGGATTAATTATGTCAGGATGTTTCACAGAATGGCACCATACCACTCTCCATGAGGTCTGATTAGCTTTGGTATTAGGTTCTCACAGTTCTGAGGAAGTACTAAAGTTAATGTACTTATATTTAGAGAACAGTCCAAATTTGTATTGGTATGGATGCCATCTACCTTCAAGTATTCCCACAGTGTACTAGTATAGGTATACTATTTGAGATATGTTATTACAGTGTACCGGCATAATTGTTGTTGTTTATTCGTTCAGTTGCTTCTGACCTCATGGACCAGCCCAGGCCTGAGATCCTTGTCAGCCATCACCACCCCCAGCTCCTTCAGAGTCAAGCCAGTCACTTCAAGTCACTCCATCTTGTCCTAGGTCAGCCCCTCTTCCTTTTTCCTTTCATTTTCCCCAGCATCATTATCTTCTCTAAGCTTTCCTGTCTTCTCATGATGTGGCCAAAGTACTTCATCCTTGCCTCTAACTGGCATTATGGTCTATGCAAATAAATTAAATGATTTTTCTTATGTTTAATGGACTGCAGGATTAAGATCTCAAACTGTAGATTAAATGTTGCCCAGGATCACAGCACAGCAAACCTTCCAAGAAGTGTTATAGGAATGACCAAATTCTGGAGAATGCGTATTCCCCTACAATACAATAAATAAGCATCTGTAAATAAATACACAAACACTTGTCTTTGTCTGTCAAGATATCATCAATCCTGCATTCAAGGAGAATCCAATTTTGCCCCAGAAATAGTCATGAGGTGACAGATATGTCATAAGAGATCGGATGCCTTCATAGAGTATATATGTTCTAGAGCAGAGTGAAGAGTGAGCTCTCCAACAGATTCAGTGCCAGATTTGGACAGGTGGAGAAAAACACTTAAGCGCCTTCTCTCCATGTCTGAATCTTTGAGAGGAAGAAGCAAGAAGAAACATAATGAAATGTCACATTGGATCAGGTCAAAGTTATAGTCAACAGAATATATTGCTCGAAATGCAGGATTTTCCTTTCACATTGACTCCTTAGGAGATGCCCACAACCTGAAAATGGGGGGAAACATATCATTCCATTCATATTCTTTAACAACATGCCAATAGCTTGGCTCAGGATGTAATTCTGAAGCCATCCATAAGTGAGCAATAGTGAGACTTAGAACAGCGTCCTATCACTGTTCAATTAAGGATATTTTCAGTATGTTATTATATTCATTCTTCTAAAAAGTAACTTGCCAGTTTCAGATTTAAAAACGTATCACTTCTGATGCTGGAAGTAATATACAGCCATCATGACTAATAGTCATTGATAACCCTATCCTCCATGAATTTGTACAATCCGCCTTCAAACACACCTGAGTAGGTGGTGGCTACGTCTTGTGGAAGCAAATGCCATACACTGCTTAAAGAAGTACCGGTAATTCCTGCTTTTTTATCTGTCCTGAATCTTCCACTATCCAACTTCAAAGGAAAGCAAGGAGAGCATGACAAGACAGCAGCTTGAGCCTGTATCAAGGAATGAAAAATCCTAGCCATAACATTAAGTTATCAGTGGAATAAATTATTCTGAAATGAGGTCTCATTTACCGTAGCAGGAATGACATAAAATATAACCCTGCAATTTAATTTAAATGTTTTTATCACCAAGTTAGCTCATGTAGGTTACCTTGTATTAGACTGGAGCAAGATCTGCTGGCAGAAAATCCTCATAGCCTGGAAACACTCACAACCCCACATAAGATGTCACATACATTCAAATTCAGAGGTAAAAAAAAAATACTTATTAGAAGCAATTTGTTACGTAACTTAGTACAAAGCTCATTTTCTTCTTCTTTTATAATCAGTAACTCACTGAATTACTTGCTACGTTACCTTTTTGGGGATTTTTTTTCAAAGCCCTCAAAATATCCCTGGAAGAATTTTGTCCTCTGCATAAGTGCTGAGAAAACCCTCAAAATGTTCATAAATGTTCATTCCCCACATAAGTGTTCAAAAAGAATGAGTTAACATAAACTATGATATGGTGAGTAACCGATTTCTCATTTATTCTAGTATATTACAAAAGTAATGTTGCTGTTCTCTGATTAGTAAAAAACCCACCAAAATCCAACCATTCATTTAATCGTAGAGTTGGAAGAGACCTTGTGGGCCATGTGGTCCAACCCCCTGCCAAGAAGTTGGAAAATCACATTCAAAGCACCCATACAGATGATTATCCAGCCTCTGTTTAAAAGCCTCTAAAGAATAACATAGAATCATAGAATTGGAAGAGATCTCATGGGCCATCCAGTCCAACCCTCTGCCAAGAAGCAGGAAAATCACATTCAAAGCACCCCCAACAGATGGCCATCCAGCCTCTAAAGAAGGAGGCACCACCACACTCCGTGGCAGAGAGTTCCACAGCTGAACAGCTCCCACAGTTGGGAAGTTCTTTCTAATGTTCAGGTGGAATCTCCTTTCCTGTAGTTTGAAGCCATTGTTTGACATCCTAGTCTCCAAGGCAGAAGAAAACAAGCTTGCTTCCTCCTCCCTATGACTTCCTCTCAAATATTTATACATGGCTATCATGTCTCCTCTCAGCCTTCCCTTTTGCAGACTAAGCATGCCCAGCGCTTTAAGCCGCTCCTCATAAGGCTTGTTTTCCAGAGCTTTGATCATTTTAGTCACCTTACTCTGGACACATTCCAGCTTGTCAATATTCAATTTTTGGAACATCCTTACTATTGGGCCCTAAGCCAGCATATTTCATTGTGGTCCAACAGGTTTTGCTCTATCACATATTCAACCTCTTTTGTAAATCAGAAACTTTAAACAAATCAAGGTGGTTGTATTTTTAGGTCTTCTGGCTGGCAGTGCTATGGACTTGCACAAAGTGATCTGGGCTTTAGTGGAACCACTGGTTTTTGTGATTCCCCCACTCACTTTATTATGCATGGACACTTTTTTTCACTTTGTTCCTGACATTGTGCAATCACAAGTTTGGTTTAAGTTCAGCATGAGACAGTAGCTGGCTAAAAAGAATGTCCTCTCCACCATTCCTGCAGTTCTTCATATTCAGTTATGAAACCTTCCATTCAGAAACCTATATCCCTTCTTTGATAATTATTTGCATTTATAGAAAACACAAAAGAGTAAAAAATATTATGCACTGAAAGTGTGCTGAAGAGCCTTGTGTGCATTGTCAAATGCCACTGTGAAAGTACTCAGTCCTGTTTGCAACATCTTGAATATGATCTTGGCTAGAGCTCTAGAAATAGAGACAATTTCAGCACCCCTTCCTTCCTACCCATATGTCTGCATCTCAACCAAAGGGGGGCAATGTTGTTGTTCATTCGTTCAGTCGTCTCCGACTCTTCGTGACCTCATGGACCAGCCCACGCCAGAGCTCCCTGTCGGCCGCCACCACCCCCAGCTCCCCCAAGGTCAGTCCAGTCACTTCAAGGATGCCATCCATCCATCTTGCCCTTGGTCGGCCCCTCTTCCTTTTGCCCTCCACTTTCCCCAGCACAATTGTCTTCTCTAGGCTCTCCTGTCTCCTAGGGGGGCAATACATCTCCACAAAAGAATGGGAGAAGACAGGCTCAAGTGAAGAATTTCCCCCAGTTCACCAAAGTTCAATCTAAAAGACGGACAAGTGGCCTTTTAAGAATAAAGAAGAGCCAGCTCAAAAGTCAATGCTCCCCTGTAGCAACATTAAACTGAAAGCATGTGCGTAGGGAATAGAATTCATGGCTGGAAAATTACTCACAAGGGTCTCACTACTGCGAGTTTCAGCTCCTGTTTAGAAAAACCTGTCTGTCTGATATACTTATATTTATTTATTATTCATGTCTCTAGTCTACCCATTTTCAGAGGTTTGGGTGGGCAACAGCAAGTTGAAGACTACCTGGAGGGTGTTGAATACTTATCTGAAAACAAAGAAAAAAACCCAAATCAGCCCTCCCTAGATTACCTTGGTTTCTAAAACAGAAGTTAGATATAGTACAGCTTCTCCTGTACTCTGAATGCAGAGGGAGGACGAGGTAATAGGAAGGAAAGAGTGGGCATATAATAATTCTTTCACTATCCATTGCTTCCTTTCCACAATGTTTCTCTCCAACTACTTCCCCCCACGATTGTTCTTGCTATAGGGAAAAGGTCTTATTGAGAAACATACAAGAAAGCTGTCAGACAAGGAGGGAACTCCATTTCTCTTTTAGGGGTTGATCACACCAGCAAAGTAAATCAGATATAATTTGGAATTTCCTTTCCCGGATTCACCCATTAGCACCACACCTGCTCCAAATAAACTGGATTCTAGTTGTATTCATAGCTGCATATCCTCATGCCCAAATTCAAATTGAGGCAAAAGGGTTGTGCCTATTTTTCTTCCCAGGATGCATAAACCTATTGATCAATATTCTTTATTGTTTACCTCTCTTAGTGGATGCCTCCCCCATTCAATTCCCTTTATCCACTCCACAGTGAGTGATCATGGCTAAAGGAGGGAAGTTTAAATCTTCCTCCCACAGTAATACAAACTAAACATTTAATAAAATGTAAAATCAATAAAATTGTCAATGTCAGGTAGGAATAAAACATATATCTGATCATTTTCACTGGTCACAGGCCAAAACACTAACAATTAAATAAGTTGTAAGAAAATAAGAAGTCAGTGGAACCGTAACACTGGAACAGTAGCAAAATATATTACCCAGCAATCTTTGCATCAGACTACAGTCCACACAATATCATATAGTATGTTTCTCCATATTTTATATTAATTGATTTTCTTGCTCTGAATTTCAGGAAGAACAAGGGGGAATGATTGCTTTGGTGCTTCCATGCAGTCATTGCTTGATTGGCTATTCTATTTTTTTTTAGTTGCCATGATCATTATTTTACCTTGCGTCCCTTGTGTTGTGATTTCTCTATCACCAGTAACCTGACCACTGTTTCCCATCTGTCTAGGGACTGGTGGTCCCATGCCGTCACCATAAACATTGTTTGCTTCGAGGGGATATGCACATGCTTGGTGGTGTAGATAGTTCCATCGGTCCTCACCTTGAAGTCCAAGTTGTCAGTTTCATATCGAATTCCCTTGCTTTCCGAGCAGCCGCTAAATTTCACTAGAGGGGAAGACAAAAAAAGAAAGTATCATTGTAGTTGCTGTTCTTCCATCAATGCACAAAGGGTTTGACAGCATCAGAAGAGTGTAGAGACCTGTCCAGAGGACTTGGCAATCAACATTTTACCAATTGCAAAGCCAAGAATACAAATAGTGAGAAAGTAAAGAAGGTCAAATAGTTTGTCATCTTTGGCCACGAGAGTTATGTTATTGATGAATGCAGTGCAGGGGTCAGATCACATGTGGGTTAAAGAAGAGGAGCTGGTTAGAGTGCATACTATCTGAGCTTGAATTGTACTCTAACCCAACTGCCCCCAATAAAATGAGCATCAGAGAGGATCGGATGTAGTAAGAGCATAGAATGAAACAGTAGATGATTAGCGCTCTTCCATCGCTGAAGATTAAGATAGAGACTTAAAAGGGAGTATCTGCCTGCCTGCCTGAATTTGGGTGCATAGACTGGTCTGGGATTTCTAGAAGTTTTTTTTCTGTGTCAGGCATGACTTGAGAAACTGCAAGTTGCTTCTGGTGTGAGAGAACTGGTCGTCTACAAGGATGTTGCCCAGGGGTCACCCAGATGTTTTGATGTTTTACTATCCTTGTGGGAGGCTTCTCTCATGTCCCCGCATGGGGAGCTGGAGCTGACAGAGGGAGCTCATCCATGCTCTCCCCAGATTTGAACCTCCGACCTATAAGTCTTCAGTCGTGCTGGCACAAGGGTTTAGCCCATTGCACCACTGGGGACTCCTATTGCCAATGGGTTATAGTGGGATTGCACATTCTATCTATGCAAGGGTTTTATATTCTTAAGGATGTGAAACATTGTAACTGGATGTAATTAAGCAAGTGTTTAACTGATGATGATGATGATGATGGCATCCTACATTGCACTTACAGATCCATAACCTACAATTATGGATCTATAACTGATCCATATTCATCCAGGCTCTGTTTTCACAATCATGACATCATTGCCACAACCAATAATGCCCCCTCTACAGTCAGCAGCTGTATCATGTGATGGAGCTCTCTGTCTTGCTGGTAATCAGGACACAACAAGATGACATTTCCAATCTCCACCCACCTACAATTTTTGATGTGAAGCAGGACCCCTGTTGCAACTCTTAATCTTATCAGAGATTGCTGGCAGGAAGCGACAAGGCAATATTATCCTTGCTTACTTTGATCACTAGCAAAACAGATCTCCATTGCCTGATGCAGTTGCAGTTTGGGAAGATGGGTCAGAAGTAGTTATACATTCATAACTTTGTCTCTGATGTAGGATTGTGGTGAATAATAATAATAATATGGCAGCTTTCCAGTAGTTGCAGTTTCTCTAACAAGCTGCACAAGGTCAGCTCACACATTAGAGATAGATAAGATAACAATTCAAGCTATCCAAGAAAGCTTGGGAAATTATTTCTTTGTTAGCATGCAGTGACCCCTCCTCCTTTCCCTATGACAGTGTCAGCACTTTTCAGAAGAGAAAAAAGAAATTTTAATATCAGGAAAAAATTAGGCTGGCTGACAAGTCTTGAAGGGGTGCATTTGATTCCAGCCTAACTCAGAAACCAAGTCCTTTGAGGTGGTGTTTGGTTCATTTTGTGTATGGAGGTGAATGGCAGTTTTGAAGGACATTTTAATTAGCTTAAGGCACAAGAGTGATCTTTGCCTTTAGGTTTTATTGCTACATCCCCTTCAACACTTTTATGTTAGCAACAAACCATGAGATTGGTGTACCTGTTTCGCCTGCTCACAAGTCTAGTACATATGATAAAATCACTCTTGATATTACCAACACATATCTGAAGCTTCCTGGTACATGCTCAGCACCATCCATTCTTTCCACTATATGAAGCAGAAGTCAGCAGAGAAATACTTTTTTTTAGAAAAATGTAAGAGCTATTTTACAGTGGAATACATTGTATCAGTGGGTGTTTCTATGTTTCTATGTGAAAGTCACAAACAAGATGATATGGGACATATACAAAAGGAATTTATAGAACTTTCAAATAAAGAATATGCTGGAGGTTTTAAAAGACTACACAAATTCATGGAGGATAAGAGATTCTAACAGAGGTGACCATATACAGCCTCCAGGTTTAAGAGATTCTCTGCCACTGAATATGATTTGCTGCCTTTCTTCAGGCATCTAGTTGTCCACAGTGGGAGACATGATGTTGACCCAGATGATCTTAGGATAGATCCAGCAAAGCACTTGCATTCAATTTTAATTCACTCTCATAAAATATACTTGTAAGGATAAAGAAGGAAAGTATTCATGCTGCCCAAAGGCTTCGGGTAACTTAGTTTCATAGCCTTTTGCCACCCCATCCCTTCCTGCTACCATTGAAACTTTGCAAACGGCATGCGTGTTTTAATGCTGAAATGCCTCTGAGGCACAGGCTTCCATTTCAAAATGTATCTTGTTTTAAAACACTGTTGGTCAACTGTAGTGGATCCAAAATCAATTTTTTTAGGATTAATATATATGTATTTGAGTAATGAACAGTAAAATAAATGATCTGTTAATACATTTATTTTTCAACTTGGAATTCAATAATCCTGTTGATTTTCATTTGATTTCAATTTTTATGTCGCTGAAGTTCTGGGGGTAAAGGGAATTGCATGAACTGTCAAATGTGTCAGAGAACAATAATAAACTATGAAAAAAACCTTCAATATGCAAATATTAAACAGTGAGGATGTGATGCCCTGGTCCCAGATGCTTCCAAAAGAAGCAATATACCCACTCCATGTTGGCTAGAAAAAGGTCATTTTGGAGAAGCTGAGGGCAACATAAACACTCTGGGTAAACAGTACATGGCCACTAAGTTGCACTTTCAGTATTGCTTCCAAAGGGAACCAATGTCTTTAAGACAGGGCAGCAAAGCAGAAGCACAGCAGAAGAAGATTACAAACCCATAGTGTTTTGAAGGGTAAACTCCTAAATATTTCCCCATACATATCTATTAATGCTGTTGTTTGTGTGTGTCATTTCTAACTTATGAAAACTATAGCAGGAGTCTATCATTTTTTTTGGGGGGGGGGGGGATGAGTCGGTTACGACGATACGGAGTATGAAGCTAAACAATGGAAGATTAGATCAGATGAGAACTTCGTCTGAGGATGAGACAGATTTGCCAATGTCACCAGGGGATTCCCAAGACTGAATGGGATGTGGACCCTGCTCTCTCAGAGTCCTAGGGTGGATCTGAACTATAGAATAAATGCAGATCAACACCATTTGAAGAGCATGGCTATGCTATGGGAGCCTGGGAGGTTAGTTTTACAAGTTCTTTAACTTTTTCAGCCAAATAGTGCTATGGCTTCCATAGCATTGAACTAAATCCCCATTCCATCCCCATTTAGTCTTGGGAATCCCCTGGTGACATTGGCAAATCTGTTGCATCCTCAGACAAAGTTCTCATCTGATCTAATCTTCCATTCACCCCCCCCCCCCCAAAAAAAAACCCCATGATAGACTCCTGCTATAGTTTTCATAAGTTAGAAATAGTTTTCATAAGTTAGAAAGTGAAAACTATAGTTTTCATAAGTTAGAAAGTGGTATCACATTGCATTAATACTACAGTGTATATGTACCCTTAGTTTAGTACTCAAACTACCACAAAATGCTGGTTCTCATAGATTAACACAAGCACATTTAATGCCCCTTTCGTGTTCTTTTTTGCTTTTTTGAGTAATGCATTTCCTCCTTTAGACTCATGCATAAGTTGTTACGCTATGCTATATGTAAGCTACCCATAATGAGGAGGGCTTCTTTGGGAGTGGAGAGGTCTAAAGGGAGAGAGGAAAACATAGCAAGGCAGGGAAGAAACAAACACTGTAAAAGGGCAGTGCCTGGATGTGAGGCCCAGCCATTAATTTTCCAGCACTGCCTTCAAAGTCTCAAACAAACATCAAGGAAATTATATAACCGTTTCTTCGACCTTTTAAAGAAACACTTGAACTTTACTACCATTCCCAGGGAAACCGCCAATGGCTATGTTAGAAGAACTTTCTAGATTTTAATTCCCTTGACAAAGCAGGTGATCCCCACTGCTGCAAATGGATTTCTCCCCTGTCTCTATTATCTTTTGAATATGATGAGACACTATTAGCCCCACAGTTGGTCCTCACAGCCATCAGTGGGATACTTGCAATTCTTTTAAAGGAAGCTTAAAGGTCCATAAAACAATGTCATTATCTAATTATGAATATTATTAATACTAGTATATTACTGAACAAATTAAAAAATGGATGTATTTGGATCCTTCTGTCTCACCTTAAGATACATATGCAATCAAGACCCAAACTATTTAATGTAGGTGATATGATGCAAATAGGAAGAAATGTAGGTTATGCTATCAGGTAAAAAATATCACAGTGTGGGAGGAAAGTAATTAAATATATATATTTTAAAAAATTAAACATTGTTGGTAAAACTATGGCTGTCATCATGTTGTTTAGTCTCAACTAGAGTATAAAAGATAACAATAGGTAACAAGTCAACACATAGGCAAGCCATTGATTCACTGGGTCCACTCTAGACAAGACTAACAATAGGATTTAGACCTATATTTTATTCACTGCAAAATCATATATATTAATACTGGATTCAGTTCTCTGAATCTCCATAATTGTTACTTTATATGTCAATTTGCAATTGACTGTTACACTGGCAAGTGCACTTTTTAATGGCTGCACAGTATTGATGGTGGAAAGCCAGAGAAAAACACTGCTGCTGCTATCCAGAGAAGAAGATATTGGATTCCAGCTAGACCCCTTTCCTGCCACTCTCCTAGTGGGAAGAAGCCTAGAAAGCATTTGTCTTACAACCACAGATATTCTGCTAATGATTTCCTCTGGTAAAATGAGCATTTTCCAACTATCCCTCACTGGGACAGCAACAAGAAAGGAATGAAAACATATGATAAGGTATGTTTGCATACATTTAGAAAAGAAAAGACTGAGAGGTGAGATGATAACTATCTTCAAATA